GTTATAGTTTTTCCAACTTATCTACTTCTGTCCTTGGTCCTTTCATCTATTAGAGTTTTATAGGATTCCATTTTATGAAAGCAATAGGATAGTTTGGTGAGGCTAAGCCCATTTTGGCTGTCACATTTCATTTTTAAGTTAAAGGAGAAGCTGTCCTTACTATGTGGCTATTGTGATATTTGATTGGAAAGTCCTTCTTCGGTATGTATTCATGGCAAACATTTTTTGATACTTCTAAAAATCCAGGGTGTGGGAATGATTATGATCTCCTTGTCATGTTGATTTGGAATATGATTTTGATTTATGGTTGCCATAAATATATGGTCAAGCCATGATGAATGGCTTTGAGGTGACAGCCACCACTGTCCTTTATATAGTGTCCCCTCAGTGTGCTGTCATCTTCATTACAAACCATCTGCCACTCGAGGCCAGGCTACAGATGTCCCTTGTCGATGAAATTTGACCTCAGTAAAATTGCAGGTGTCTTTGGAAGGACAGGGAAACTGCCATTCTGCTTTTATGGTATTCTATATTTACAGTGATGGGACTCTTATTTGCTTCTCCATCATTTTCTGCTTTCTGTGACAGTAATCACAACTAATTTCAATATGGACTGTGATCACCAGTTCTCTCTGTAGCTTTTCAAATACTGTCACGTGGCTATCATTAAGAGACCAGGTTAATCTGGTGGTGGTATGCATTCATCTTTTGAGTCTCCTTTCATAGGGTTGGCACATTTCTGTTGTATTATATTATTACAACCTGTATTTTTTAAAAAATTAGGATGCTAAGGCCTAATATTGTACAGTGGTTTACTTTCACTTTATAGTATTCGTGTTTAAATGTATAATTTGTAAATGATAGTTTTTTAAAAAATGGATTTCTCATGTGCTTAAGAGACACATTTTTTACCATCTTTGTAACCATTGGGACTGAATGGTGACAGGGTATGAAGGCCTCTATATTTTATGTTCATATTATTTATTACTTGACAAATGGCAAGAGGGGCATAAAACTGTTTTATTTGTCAGATTTGCCTAAGAACTTTCTTATAAAGAGCATTTATGGTGCACAACACATACATAAATCCTCCTGCAATCATCCTTTTGCAGTCTGCCTTGTAGTATTTCCTTTTTCATAATTTGGAAAACTTTTTTTTGGTATTTGTTTTATTGAGGTATAATTGACCTATAATATTAGTTTCAGGTGTACAACAGAGTGATTCAATATTCGTGGTCCCACAGGGAGTCTAGTTACCATGGGTTCCCACACTTGGTTACAAAACATTTTTCTTTCCTTCCTGTAATGAGAACTTTTTAAGATCTGCTCTTACCAACTTGCAAAGATGCAGAATGGTGGTGTTTGCTATCGCTACCCTGTGGCGCATCATATTCTCCCAACTTATTTTATAGCTGGAAGCTCGTACCTTTCCACCCCTCTACTCCCCCACCCTCTCCCCAGCCCTCCGCCACCACCAACTTGTTCCCTGTTGGAAAACTTTTAAGAGAAGTTTGCCACAATGGAAAGAACCTACCAACTGTTTAAAGGAACCACGCAGAATTGAAGGTAGGGTTTCTTTCTTCCTTTTTGTTGGTATCTTTGGGAAAGTTAAATTTTAAGCCAGAGCTTGTGACATGAGATTCTGTGATCGTCTAAATTTTGGCACTGGTTATCAGACTTAAGCAAAAGCATCTTTTAAAAGATCTGATACTCACAGGAGAAAGAGAGTTCCAAAAGTTCTGTATATTGGTTAAATAAACAGCAAAATGGTGAGCTTCTGGAGTTTTTAAAAAATGTTGATTTTAATCACCTTACGAAAGATGTATTACTTGTCATACAGCCAGTCGGTGAATCCTAGAGTAGAGTGAGCCACAGCTGGGGTCCTACATACGCTTCCCTCCCCCACCCCCTGCAATTCTAGCTTCCCTATGAAGTGTAGGGGTGACAAAATTTAAAAATAGAGGAATGTGTGTGTGTATTGGTAGTACACTCCATGTAGCTTATACCCTGGCCTGGTATAAATATTTGTCTCAGATTTCTCTAGGGGTTATCTCCCTAATTGTTTACCCCACATGCTATAACCTTTTCTTGACCTGTTACTGCCATGTTTCCCTCCACATTCCATGCCGGACATAAAGAGGCCCCTGGCTGGCTTCCTGCCCACGTTCACAGTGTCAAAGTGGATGGCAGCCGAAGCTCTCTGCCTTCTTGGCCCCCACTCAGGGTTCTGTGCTCTTTTCAGACCATGTTCTTTTTGCGGACTGAGCTCCCGAAGATGAACAGCCTCCCTGGCCCCAGTGCCGTGGGGAACTTACCCTCCCTTCTCCTTCCTGTGCATCACATCCCCGCACTTCAAACGACGATAGTCTCCATTTTTCTTGTCAGCTTCTCATGCTCATTTTTCAGTTTCCTGGGGGTTTAAGCTGGTTCACAAGTCAAACCTTATTTTTAAAATGAATGGTTTGACCAAAAACCCGACTCTTCACTCTGGAGAACACACTGATGGTCACCAGAGGGATGGTGGCTGGGGGGCCAGGGGAAATAGGGGGCGGGGACCGAGAGCACACTGACCTTGACGAGCGCTGAGTAATATATGGAAATTGAGCCATTCTGTTGTACACCCGAAACTAAATAACACTGTGTTAATTACACTGGATTCAAACTAAAAATAAAATGAATGGCTTGAAGAACTCTTTAGATCTAACGAATAGATTTTTCACCCAGGTCGACCTTGCAGATCTCTGCTCCTACGAGGCGGTGTGGTTCAGGGTTCAAAACAGGGACTCCTGAGTCAGGCTGCCTGGTTCTGCCTATTACTACGTCTGACTTGGGCAAGTTCCTTAACCTCTCTGCGTCTCTGATATTTTATAGGGGTAGAAAGATTTTTATTATTTCCATCTGTAGTTGTAGTGAAGGTTAACTGGATAAATAAATGTAAAGCATCTGTGACAGTGCCTGGCACCGAGTAGGTACCGTACGATTTTTGTTGTTCCCCAGCTACTAGGCGTATCGCTTGTCATTTCTGTCCGCTCCCATGGAGGCTCAGTGCTGACCCAGGCCTCTGTTCCTTTGGCTTCCTGATGTTTGCACTTTGACTAGTAACCTGTTTATACGTATATTTTAGGATCCTAAAGCCAACATCCTAAAATATGTATAATAGCAGGTCATAACAAAAATACCAGAATTCTTATCAAAATCATACGGCTCCATGTACCATACAGGTTTAAAATGCAAGCATTTTGCCAAATAGGTTTTAAATTCTTAAAGAACTGAAACCCTACAAATAGAGTGGCAAGTCTCCCTCCCCATGACCTCTCCATCCCTCCCCCAACTTCTTGGAGATAACTCTATCCTGGTGGTGTGCATTCTTCCCATCCATGTATTTAACCTTTACTGCATATTTGTGTATTCACAAACAATATCTAGTGTTGTGTTGTAAAAACTTACATAAGCAGTATGATGTAGCGGATCCTTAGAACGTGTGTTTTTCACTTATTGAGATTTACCTATATTGCGTGTAGATCTAGCTCCTTTTAGCTGTGTAAGATTTCATTGTATGAAGTACACTGTAATTAGCAAGTTCATAAGCTACTGAGTTATCACAAAACACTTTGAATATTTTTTACTCTGTTTCAGAGCATGAATTTAAACCCAGGTTTATCCAATTCCATCATGCCATGCTTTCGATAAATACTAGGAAAATCAAGTTGGGAAAAATGAGCTTGCAGGCTGCCCACTAGTGTATCTAGGTATCTAAGTAAAGGAAATTGGTGGTTGTCTGCCCTCAGGGCCTGGAGCTGGCTGCAAGATCAGGGCAACCCTGCCTTCCTAAAGGAGGGCTACACTGCAGGATGCTCCGGGGTTTGCGGGGAGTAGTAGGTCCGCTACTGAGACAGGGCTTCAGGGAAGAACAACACCCTTTATTAGCGAATAGCAAGTGTGGTAAATCACTGATACTTCTGAGGCCTGAAAGGCCCCGTGGGATACAGAGAGTTTTTAAAAGAAGTGTCAGACATCAGGGGCACCTGGGTGGCTCAGTGGGTTAAGTGTCTGACTCTTGATTTTGGCTCAGGTCATGATCCCAGGGTTGTGAGATCAAGCCCTGTATCAGGCTCTGCGCTGGGCGTGGAGCCTGCTTAAGGTTGTTTCTCTCCTCCCTCTGCCCCTCCACTTGCTTGCGCTCTGTCTCCCAATAATAAAATCTTAAAAAAAAAAAAAAAAAGGAAGTGTAAGACATGGACCCAGCCCTCAAGGAACTTAAAAATCTAGCAGGGCAGGTGAAGCTAACATGAAGCGCAACAGCCGGATGCTGACCAACTTGGTGTGTGCTGTGCTGTGCCCCTTGTCTTCTTTGATAGCAATAGCCTGTATTTTTCTCTGCATCTCATTCAACAATACTTCCTGGAAATCCTTTCAAGGTATCTAGAATATAACTAGTTCATTTTTAAAAGACCATGGAAAATCAAGAAATGGGCAGAAGACATGAACAGACATTTCTGCAAAGAAGACATCCAAATGGCCAACAGACACATAAAAAAGTGCTCAACATCACTTGGCATTAGGGAAATACAAATCAAAACCTCAGTGAGATACCACCTCACGTGAGTCAGAAAGGCTAAAATTAACAAGTCAGGAAACGACAGATGTTGGCGGGGATGAGGAGAAAGGGGAACCCTCCTACACTGTTGGTGGGAAGGCAAGCTGGTGCAGCCACTCTGGAAAACAGTATGGAGGTTCCTCAAAAAGTTAAAAATAGAGCTACCCTACGACCCAGCAATTGCACTACTGGGTATTGACCCCAAAGATACAAATGTAGTGATCCGAAGGGGCACATGCACCCCAATGTTTATATCAGCAATGTCCATAATAGCCAAACTATGGAAAGAGCCTAGATGTCCATCAACAGATGAATGGCTAAAGAAGATGTGGTATATATATATATAAAATGGAATATTATGCAGCCATCAAAAAATGAAATCTTGCCACTTGCAACGACATGGATGGAACTAGAGGGTATTATGCTAAGAGAAGTAAAGCAATCAGAGAAAGGCAAGTATCATATCTTACTGATATGAGGAATTTGAGAAACAAGACAGAGGATCATAGGGGAAAGGAGGGAAAAATAAAACAAGACGAAACCAGAGAGGGAGACAAACCATAAGAGACTCTTAATCTCAGGAAACAAACTGAGGGTTGCTGGAGTGGTGAGGGTGGGAGGGATGGGGTGCTGGGTGATGGACACCGGGGAAGGTATGTGCTATGGTGAATGCTGTGAATTGTGTAAGACTGATGAATCACAGACCTGTGCCCCTGAAACAAATAATACATGATATGTTAATAAAAAATAATTTAAAAAATACCATGGAATATTCCATGCTATGGACATGTCATTTATTTGACCATGCCCTTATTAATAGGTCATCTCTTGTTTGCTGTAACCTGCTAAAAACTGTAGCACTTAGTGTCCTTGTAGAGATGTCCCTCTGTGCTTTGGTGCTTTGATTTCTGCAGGCATGGGATTGCTGGAGAGAGGGCTGTATGTATGTCTAATTCTAATACATGCTGCCATATTGCTTCCTAAAAAGGCTAGAGTTCCTGTTTCCCCACCAGCAATGTTTGAGAGTGTCCTCTCCCTACACTGTCACCTCTAATAGTTGTGATATCTCGTCTTGGGCTTGACTGGATATAAAGTTATATACCATTGTTTTCAATTTCTGTGGCCAGTAGGGAATATCCGTGTCTGTTTGGACATTATACTGGCTATTCGTTTTTGATATTTTGTGCGCTGCTCATCTTTTGACGGGTTGGTTGTTAGCCTTTGGGTTTTTCCCCTTGGTTAGTCTGTAAGAGCTATTTATCTAGAATAGATATCAATCCTTTGTCATCTATGTTACAAATATTTGGACCAGCTGTATTTGTCTGTTGGCTTTGTTTACCAGCCAGTTCACTGAAGGATGATAGCAGCATACGGAGTTTCATTAGCTCAAAAACAACCTAATTAGTCTGATATGTTAACCATCATTTTGGAAAGGTCCATAAGTGAAATATGGTATTGACGGGTTATGATACAACCTACCCGTTGAAGTATGTGGTAGCTCACTACGTCAGCTGGATTTTCTGTCACTTAAGCTTTTCAGATATTCTTCAAGCAGCAGAGAGGAGTACTCACATCTGTGTCTGATGTGTAGGAAAACAGTCTGATCTCTGAGCAGCTATAATGCACTCAGCTGATCTCGGGTCCTTACGGAAATGGAGTCCTGAAAGTCTGTATCGTTTTTTTGTTTCTTTGTTTTTGTTTTTTTAGAAATCACACCATCCTCAAAGCCTCATCCACCTGTTGTGGGCAAAGTGACTCATCACAGCATCGAGTTATACTGGGATCTGGAAAAGCGAGCGAAACAGCAAGGACCTCAGGAGCAGTGGTTCAGGTTCTCAATTGAAGAAGAAGACCCCAAAATGCACACTTACGGTATCATTTATACGTAGGTGCAACGTTGAATTGCTTAACATTTTGCTTTGATTTCCTGATGCGCTGGAATGGTTTTTATTGTCTTTAAAAAGACTCATTCTGAAATGAAAGAAAAGAATGAGTTGGCATCATCTGCCAGCATGGTTTTTATGAATTAGAATTTTTGGAAAATCAGCATTAAGCAGTAACTTTGAAATGAAGCCTCCTCTACCTCTGAGAGCTTCTTAGGCTCCTGCAGTATTCACATGGTATATTTTAAAACTCTAAAATGTGGAGACAGAATCAAGAGCATTTGAAATTGGAGGAGGCTGCTGTGTTTGGAGATGTGGGCTGAGGCCCCCAGGTCTACCCAAGACATCTCTGGACCTCCTGTCACCCCGCTGTTCTTGGTTAGCTGTTCCCAGGCTGTGCTGGTCCCCAGGGCGGGGCCTTTCTTGTTAGGTTTCCTCCTGTTTTCACATGGCTGGTTCCTTCACACCATGCAAATACCAGGTCAAATATTCCACCCGGGCACCCCCTCTGTCCTGATGTTGGTTGATGTGCTCCTAACCCGGCTCTGCTGGAATTATCTGTCCCATTGGCCTGTTCATTTTGTCTCCACACCAGTGTTTAAACTCTGAAAGGCAGAAAAGATTCCTGCTTGCTTAACACCTGATACCCCCGCTCCTAGGCAGTGTGGGCACCTAGCGGGCCCTCTGAATACTTGTCACACGAATTAATAAATCAATATAACGGGGTAATCAAGAAATCCTTTTTTCCTTAGTCTTCATTTCAACTCTTATTTCTTCCCTTTGACTGCTTTACCACTTGCCAAATGACTATCTTAGGGATACCAAAAATGTGATACAAATATGGCTGTGAACTGAAATTAATTTTGAGGGGCGCCTGGGTGGCTCAGTCGTTAGGTGTCTGCCTTCAGCTCAGGTCATGATCCCCGGGTCCTGGGATCGAGCCCCGCACCTGGCTACCTGCTCAGCGGGAAGCCTGCTTCTCCCTCTCCCACTGCCCCTGCTTATGTTCTCTCTCTTCGCTGTGTCTCTCTGTTAAATAAATAAATAATTTTTAAAATAAAAATAAAAACAAAATGAATTTTGAGATAATCATAGATTCCTATCAGGCTGTAAGAGATAATAGAGATCTTGTGTACATCTTGCCCGTGTCCCCAGGGCTAACGTTACGGGATGCCGTAGGGCAGCCTCACAGTCAGGAGACTGGTGTTGATGCGGTCCAGGCCCAGAGCATTTCCAGCAGTTTGCTAGCTTTTTCTCAGGGTGGCATCGAGATGATGTTGAGGGTATTAACAGAGGCTTTCACTTTTCCCTGAATGATGACAACCCCGAGATTTAATGAACAATTGGTTGGTTGGTTGGTGGGTTGTTTTTTTTTTTAAGATACAAACAAACAAAAAAACCCCAAACAACAACAAAACCAAATGCATTTCTCTGAAATGTAGTTACCATCTGCAAATAATTTTGGCCCCACGACTCAAAAATGGTATTTTAATGAGGTCATGCCGTGTTATTCTCTATTAGGTAATTTCCATCTGAAATCTAAAAGCATGAGTTAGGATATTAGAAGTAGGAGTGTGGAGAAGGGAAGAAACATCCTTTCTTTCCCGGGTGCCCCTGGCACACACGCTGCTCTCGGGCACGGCAGATGGGGCTGTGCTGGATGCTCCTTCCTCTTCCTCCTCCCTTCTCTGCCTCCAGCCAGGAGGACCGCCTCCCCCCACTGGAGCTCAGCCACACACTGGCCTCCAGCCTGGGGCATCTGTCGTGGCCGTCACACGTTCCCCAGAGACCTGAGTGCTGTCGGGCTTGGGGGGCGGTCGGCCCGGAGGAGGGCCTGGCATCCTGGAGCTGGCAGCAAGACCTACAGACTGCCACCCCCAAGCTTGCCTGCCCTTGGCGAAGTGACGGCAGAAGCTTGCCACTAGGTGGCAGAAAGAGACTGTGTTAATCTTGACGTCTTTCGCTTCCTTACACTACCTTCTCTAGGTATCCTGAAGACCAGCAATGCCTTACTTTGAAAAAGCGGTTTCAAATATCTGACCTTGGAATTACGGATTTAAGAACTTCCTTTTGACTTGTCCGTTTCTGTCTGTGTTCACCGCCAGCCCATCCTGAATCGGTGGTGACCTCACAGCCCCTTACCCTGTTTTGTGAGTTCCCCCTTTGCAAATACCGCATTCTGCTTCCCCTCGTGATATTGTGGCATTTCCGCCCAACCAGGATGCAGGCTCCATCTTCTGACTAGTGTCCGGATGCATCTCCAGGTCCTGCAGCTAAGTTGCACGTTTGCTGAATGAATGGGCCTTGTCCGTCTTCTCTTGCCTTCTAGGCGTCCGTTCTGTCTTGCGAGGTTACCTTCTTAACTAATCATCCTTCCGTCAAATTCTCTTCAGGGAGTCTCTATTTCTGGAAGTACGAAGGTCAAACTTTGCAGATGATGCCCTTCACAGTTGGCCCACAACCTGCCTGCCTTGTTATCTCTTACTTCTGAGCATGAATCCTCCAACGAGATCTGTTTACTGTCCTTTGAATAGGCCCTGACTTTTCTTGTGTGTATGTTCAGCAGTTTTTTCTGTTCAGACCAATGTCTTCCTGGCTGATCCTTTCTTCTACATGGTTAGATTCTACCTCCACTAAGAAACTCATTAATAACCTATTCTCTACTCCTCTAAATTCCTGTGACAACTGTGCATTTCATTCATGAATCATTCATGCACGATTATCTTGCATTTCATTCATTCAATCAGCATGTATTAATGGGTACCTACTATGCACCAGACACTGCTCTGGATGCAGGGGATGTGCACTGAACAAACGGACAAAAATTCCTCCCTCATGATGAGAAAAACAATAAATAAGAGATGTAAGTGAAAATACAGAGTAGGTAAATAGAGATGGTGAGAAGTACCAAGGAGAAAAAGCATAGGAAAAGTTGGGGGTTTGGAGCAGAGGTAAAGAAGACTTCCCTGAGAAGTTTGCATCTGGATAAAGAAGCAACGGAGGCAGATCTGGAGCCTGGAGAGTATCTGAAAGAAGAACATGCCAAGTCGAAGAAATAGCAAGTGAAGCCCCCTTGAGATGCGACTGGGCCCAGTATGTTCCAGGAACACTGAGGAGTCGAGTGAATGAGCAGAAGAGCAGCACGGGATGAGGTCAGCGAGGCAATGGGAGGCTGTCGCTGGAGTCTGGCGGCGGGGGGTGGGGGGGGCGGGGGGGGCAGAACTGTGGTGGGAAAGCCAGAGGAGACTGCTAGGCTGAGGAGGGGCAGGGCCTGGCTGACACTCTCGCTCTCTGACGATTGTTCTGGATGCTGAGGTGAGAACAGGCTCCAGGGAGGTGCAAGGCAGCGAGTACTTCTGCAGTAAGAGAGGTGGGAGGTGATGGAACCGGGTGAGCCGTAGTTGAATTTAGGATGGTTTGAAAGACAGACTTGAAGACTTTGCTGGTGGCTCAGATAGGAGATGGGAGAGAAAGAGGAGTGTTAAGGGGCTAGATCTACATCTGCCCCTCCTGGACAGGTGGGTTTGGCTGCATTAAACCTCAACTTCAGAATCTCCATGCTTTAGGACAACAGTTTATTTCCCACACGACATAACTGATGTGTTGGCCATGGCTCCATTCCATGGTGTCTGTCATCCACATCTGCCTGGGCTGACGGAGCAGCCTCTGCCTAGAGGTTGCCAGTCACTGTGGCCGGGGGCAGAGGGCAGGGCACACTGTTTCTAGAAGCTTCCATCCAGAATGACCCATTTCACTCCTGCTTCTGGTGCTTTGCTCAAAGCAAGTCCTACGGCCACGTCTGAGTTTGACTGGGCAGGGGTAACAGGATCCTTGGGGGATGACACCAAATATTTGGGACCAATAAGCTAGTCTTCCACAGGTGGCCCCAGCGGATTGGGTCTGAGCATCTCCAATAACAAAGATGGGAAGATGGGGGGTGCGGAGAGGAGCAGAAGCTCAGTTGGGGCATCAGCTGGAGGCCGAGTGGAGATGTCAAAGAGCAGCAGCTGGGGAAGATCGGCCTAGGGGAGAGTCCCCAGCTCCTGCTGGACTAGATTGGAACTGGGGGTGGGAGCATAGAGAGAGAGGGCAAGTCTGGCTACCGAGTCCTTAGGCGTTCCAGTATTGGGTTTCTTATGTTCCATGTTTGCTCAGCTGCTGCATCAAATATTTGTTTATTGACAACAAAAATACAGGCATACCTTAGACTTTCATATGCTCTCCTCTATTGTGGAAAAGTCCTAAGACTATTATACTCATTTAGGTACCACGCCTGGGCCATGGGAATTTGTGCTTCTCCACGAGCTTCCCGAACGGCTTCCATTTGTCTCCCCACAGCTGGGCTGCAATCATTGTGGAGTACTGCGGTGGACAGCTGTGTCCTGGGGCCCCTGTGTGTGTCTGGTACTCTCCTCAGGGTCCTCTCGATTGAAGGGAGAGTCTCCAGCCTTCCCTAAATGTGCCCAGTGACTTCTGTTTTCTAAACAGTTGTGTAATTCCTCTTTCCAGGGGTGATGAAGGTGCTGCCTGCTTCAGCATGAGCTTAGGATATTTAGCAACGATGGATTTTATTGGGGGCACTTTTGGTTTTATTTTGGTTGGAAACTATGTTAAGTCTTTGACACCTGACATTGAATTCCATTGAAGCTTGGATATTGTATTCAATTTTCGTTCCTAAAGATCTTTTCAGATGCCACAAATTCTGGGCTCCCTTTCTAGGATTCCCATATCTATAGATATGGATGTATGCTCGCCTAATGAGGAAATCCAGCTACTCTTTTTTTTTTAAAGGTTTTATTTATGAGCGAGAGCGAGAAAGAGAGAGCGTGCACACACAAGCAGAAGTAGCTCCAGAAGGAGAGGGAGAAGCAGACTCCCTGCTGAGCAGGGAGTCCAATGCCAGCCTCGATCACAGGACCCTGGGATCATGACCTGAGCCAAAGGCAGACACTTCACTGACTGAGCCACCCAGGTGCCCCAAAATCCACCTATTCTTGAGACCACTTTGTGCAGGTGGATGTATTTTAGACGATGATAATGATTTTTAAAGCCATGCAGTTTTTCTGAATATTTATCTTGGTTTTAGAGCTTTCACTTTTATGGTAAATATATTTATATCGACTCTTAACCCTTCTGTTTTCTTGATTTCTTAATTCAGATGTTTTTCTTAATGCCACTGGTATCATTTCTTCATTGTCTTTGTTGTAGTTTCTTCTTTGTTGATGATGTGATGTATCAGTTATCTCTTGCTGCATAACAAACCATCCCCAAACTTAGTAGTTTTGCTTAAAGCAAAAAAAAAAAAAAAAAAAATCCTGTGTTTGCTTATGATTCTGCAGTTGGGGCAGGGTGGGAAGGGATGGATGTGTGACTTGTCCTTTGCACTCAGGGCACTTCCCTTCTAGTGTGGGAGACTGACAAGAGCCAAGATGGGGTCATACTGGAAGTAGACAGAATTCACACCTTGCTTCCCCCTGCTCTTAGTGACTTTCAGGGTGTGCTGATTTGATCCCCTGGGGTCCTCATCATGTGTATCTCCTCCCGTATAGGGGATACTCAACAAAGCATGTTGTAGAAGGTCTGGAACCACGAACACTGTACAAATTCCGACTGAAGGTCACCAGCCCCTCTGGAGAATATGAGTACAGCCCAGTGGTCTCCGTATCTACCACCAGTGAGTATACAACCACTGCACTCCTTTATCTAAAGATAAATGAAGACAATGAGCCATATAGAGGTAAAAACATCTTACCTTTTGCTCGGCCTTACTGGAAGCAGAAACTTCCATTTTTTTTTTTTAAGATTTTATTTATTTATTTTAGAGAGAGAGAGAGAGAATGCATGAGCAGGGAGGAGAGGGAGAAACAGGCTCCCCGCTGAGCACAGAGCCTGACCTGGGGCTTGATCCTAGGACCCTGAGATCATGACCTGAGCTGAAGGCAGACGCTTAACTGAGTAAGCCAATCAGGCTCTTCCATTTTTAAAGACTGTGCTGATACTGTTCCCTGGCTAGGCCAGGCCACAGCAGGAGGGAAGTCTGTGCTTTAACAAAGGGGGAGAGCTGTTCTGGGGCCAGCACCGCCCTGGGAGTGCACATTCAGGACTAAAAGTACAAAAGGGTGGAGTCACCTTTCTTAGGAAGTGGGCCGGGGGGTGGGGGGGGGGCTGAGAAACAGTCTGCCTGTTCGAGTGTGCCTCAGGTGACAAGGTCTACAAAGCATTTTGTCCCTTTTGAACAATCTCAGTTTTATGTCTTGACACACAAATCAGATTCCCAGGGAGGCTGTGAGTGAGGAAGAACGAACAGTGTGACACACACACACACACACACACACACACACACACACAGGTGGGGCGAGGGGCCGGCTGCCTCTGACCTGCGTCTCCTTCTCCCAGGTCCCTGTGATTAGTATTTTAAAACATTTCAAAGATGTGTGCGTATCTAGAATGTGGTAAAGATTAAAATGTTCGGAAATGTTCTTCATGGCCTGCTCGCTGAAAACACACACGTCTTGTTTTCAGTTGCACAACAAAAATCTACCTCTTGTGAGTAAAAGTGATTTTAAAGTTTTAGTCAATATTGCATATGGTGTATGTGGGTGTAGACACACACGCTCATATAAATAACACAGAGTTTTCCTTCTGTGGCTTTCAGTTGTGTCCTTTATGCATTTATTTGGAGAGTTCTTTTTGGATTTAAATTCAATTATCCAACTTATAGTACATCCTTAGTTTCAGATGCAGTGTTCGGTAACTGATCAGTTGCGTCTGACACCCAGCGCTCATCACATCATGTGCCCTCCTTAATGCCCGTCACCCAGGGACCCCATCCCCCCACCTACCTCCCGTCCAGCAACCCTCAGTTTGTTTCCTAGAGTTAAGAGTCTCTCACGGTTTTTCTTATTTGGAGAGATTTTTATGTGGATTAAAGATGATTGAGGTTTTGAGTTAGCCTATCATCTCTTCATTTGCAAACAAGGCACTAGGGAGTCGGGTCTTAGTTTGGCAAACTGAGAATTCAGCGACAGCTGAGAGGGGTGTACCTTCCCCAAGGTGCTCCGCTCGCTGCGAAGACACATAATTTCAGAGGAGACTTTCCAAGTGCAACGGCCAGTTACAGAGACGCAGGTCAGGAAAGAGGGCTTGTCCTTCATGTGGTGACTGTGAAAGCATTTCCTTCCTACAGGAGCTCCGGAGCTCTGGAGCTTTTAGGGGAAAGAAAAGGTAGAGCCGCTGAGTGTGTGTTGGTTTCCTCTATGTTGAGGGCAGGCACAGAGAAAGGAGGAGCAGGGGCAGGAGAAAGGTTGGCAAAGGGGAACCTATTGTTTGAATAGAGACTCTCTAGGGGACACTGGGCCAGTGTGCTCCCTCCTGTCCCGCTGTCCCCAGCTAGCCACAGGCCACGCCTGCACTCCTCTGCCTTTGCCCCTTCTCTCTGGAGCGCCCCCTCCTCAGAGCCCCCCTTCCCGGCGCCCCCTTGGCTCCTCTGTCTGTTGAGCCACTCGCCAGGCAGAGCTCTGCTCAGGGGCGGTTCCTTGTGTTTGCCCCAGTACCCGGCTGGGTGTCACTTCCTCCGATAACACCCAGTGCATCTTATTACGTGTATTTTTTCATCTCGCACCGACTTGCGTGCTTCCAAAGTGGAGGATGTGATGAGTCAGTCGGTCATGTCTGGTGTAGGAGATAAAGGTAAATGGGTGGACAGACAGTGAATGGAAAGGCCCAGAGGCAGAATTAGGATGAGGAGGGAAACACTGATTTTCTCAGCTCGCACTCCCGTCTGTGGGGAGATGGACGTGTGTCCCAGAGGCTGGGGCGAGTCCCCCTGCACCTGCACGGTGAGGGCGAACAGGATGCAGAACCGGCCATGGTGAGCCTCAGCTTGCCACTGGCATCTTTCCTCCTGCCACATCCACACCAGGACAGGGGATGTGGGACCTTCCGGCCAGAGCCGACGTGTTGAGGGGGTGGTTGCCTACCATTTGGAGCTCTTTGGGAAGGCAGAAACCATGGTAGCTTTCTATCAGCTGACAGGGATCGTGCTGCCTTCCTGCTGAGCTGGCTTCCGAGAGGGAGCCATGGAGACCTGGTATGGGGGTCCAGGGCATTTGTGATTGCAGTCCGTGGCTTCCGTGGGTCGCTAGACCAGACCTCCTGCAGGGACCAGGGTGTGATGGAGATGTGGTTCCTGGTGATGACCCGCAAACCGGGCTTCCTGCGCGTTTCATGGTCTGGTCACAGTGCTGTGCTCCAGAAGAGATGGACTCTCAGCCTCAGGGGGCTCTCCCGGGTGGCAAGAGTCCCTCTTCCTCCTGGTTGCTGCTCCCTTATGCTATTATTATATTTATAATATCCAAGGCAGACTCCCTCAAGGAGGTAGATCATGCTAAACAAAGAATTAAAAATGGGCATATTTTCCAAAATAATTAAAAAATGCTTCTGTGGGTTGATCATTTGCATTCAGTTTGAAAGTGTTTTTAATGAATCACGAAAGCATGTACTTTGTTTGAATAAAGGATGCTCAGCTTTTTTTTTTTTTAATTCCAGGTAAAGTACCCGAGTCTCTTGCTTAAATGAGGCATGCAATTTTAATCAGTGGGGCCCTTAAAAAGAGACAAGCAGCTGCTGCTTGTTAATTGGCAAATCTCTCCTCCAATGAGCTCATCATTTATTCACTGCTTCTAACAGACCTGAATTCCACCCAGAAAGGCGTTAACTGCCACATTATAATATCTGCGGGCACGTCTGCCACTAAATGACCCTCTTGTAGAACATGGTGATGGCTTTCCCCTCCTCCTGGGTGTCCCCTTCCCTGGCCCTACCTGATGAGTTCCAGCCAGCGGGGGTGGGCAAGGGCAGGCACTCGTGGACATCCTCCCCCCCCGGGCAGCACCGATTCAGTATTTGTTTGTTGTTGCAACACTCAGGGTAAACATTAGCCAAACAAACCAACAGAGGCAAAGCCTGCCTTTTTTGTATTCAGTTGCACTTGATGCAGTCCCCTGGGCCAGGCCCACCATGTCTTCGAAGATTCAGGGGTAGGAGGAGTGGAACGTTTGGCTCACCCTGGAATTTCCTCTTTCTATGACTCCTGCCTATAGTGGGAGGGAGAAAGGACTTCTCTGCTCTGCTCTGCAGGAGCCTTTTCATTGTTCCGCTGTCTGATTCACATAAACGGAGACCTTTGTGTGCCTTGGTTGATCCATGTCTGGTCTGGTGCTAATCCTCAGTACCTCATTGCCTTCTCAGCAGTGGTCTGAGAGGGGTTAATGAGTTAATGCTGAGAAATAGCGTTTATGCCTCGAATGATACTTATTGCTTCCTTTTGCAGAAATTCTGCAAACAAGGAATAGATTAACCATTGTGCTATGTTCCTTCCCTCCCGTGAGATGTCCTTTTGTTTTCAGATTAAGTTATGAGGGCACTGATTACCTTTGCAGAAGCTGGAATAGGGCAATGCATTCATTTAAAGTATGTCCTACTATCAAAATACCCCACTCTTTGCTACACATGGTCCTCAAGCCTCTAAGCACAAAATGAACTTACTGCACTTTCCAATATTTGTAAGCTGCAGAGCTTCCTGGGTAGGATGCACCAGGAAGTACCCCCCACTGGGAGGGCTGGACTGGTTGGGTAAGACAGATGATGTGCATTGGAGGTGGGTCGGCGCAGAAATACGTGGGGATACTGCATGTGCCTTTAGAACGTTCTTTAACCTCTTAAGAAGTTAGCACTTTTCTGAAGCTTTTAGGCTTTAGTGTCCCCTTTCATTTAACACTTTGTGCAGGGGGATCATATTTGCTTATTTAAGAAGTTTGCTTATTTTCAAAGCGTAATACGGTTGGAAGCATAGAATGAATTGGTCAGCCACCTCGGCATGTATTAAAACACCCAAGGAAGGAATGTGACCTTACGAAAGGCTCGGTGTGAGCTCTACTCACTCAGCCTTCCTGGCTCTCAGTTTTGTGGTCTGAAGAATTGAAAAAGCATTGTGTCAAGTCCTAGATAGAGCTTAGTTAATAAGACTTGAGTTAGGATGCCATATTTTATTTATTTATTTATTTATTTTTAAAGATTTTATTTATTTATTTATTTGAGAGAGAATGAGATAGAGAGAGAGAGCATGAGGGGGGGAGGGTCTGAGGGAGAAGCAGACTCCCCGCTGAGCAGGGAGCCCGATGCGGGACTCGATCCCGGGACTCCAGGATCATGACCTGAGCCGAAGGCAGTCGCTTAACCAACTGAGCCACCCAGGCGCCCACCCTTTGGTAGGATGCCATATTTTAAAATTTAGTAGAGATAGGATGAGCTTCCTATGTTCTCCTAGATGATTCTATGCAAATTAGTTGTATTTTTAGTGGCCGTTGAAGTTTGAGAGTCACAAAAGGGGGCTGTTTGGTGGGCTATACCACCACTATCCCTCTCTTCCCCTCCTTTCTGGGAGGTGAGAAGGGAGGGAAACTTTCCATGAGTTTAGTTTGTCCACTAAAGTAGGGATGCGTCACCCAGTAGATCATTTTAAGTCCATACTATTCTAGCCCAGGGTTTCCCAGCCTTGGCACTTTTGACATTTGAGGGCTGGATAATTCTCATCGTGTATACTGTAGGATGTTTACCAACATCCCTGGCCTCTACCCACTAGACTCCAGTAGCATGAACCCTTAAGGTGTGACAACCAAAAAAGTCTCCAGGCTTTACCAAATGTCCTCTTAGTGGTGGTAGTGGTGTTGGGGCAGGGGGTGTACAAAACCCTGCTCCCTTCCATAGCCCTCCAGTGGAACCACCAGGCTAGCCACGCTCTATCATTGGAAGGCCAGGGAAAGCGGTGGGCCTTGCCCTTTGACGGTTTATCGTGATACTTTTATTTGAAGCTTTTGGTCTAAAAATATGTGTGGAATGATGAAAAGGAAGTACAGTGTGGCTAAAAAATCTTTAGGAGATTGGCAAGCACTAGCAGACAAAATTGTTATTTCAAAAACAGTTTTCACTCGGCTTAAATTTGTTTTTTTACCAGAAGAAGAAGGGTATCAGCTAGAGGTCATTCTGCTAGTGATCACTACATTCTTCTGTCCCCTGGTTTCCTGGTTTATAATTTGCCCAGCTAAAATCCTCCAAGGAAACGAGTAGAAAAGCGGCTCTAGGGCCCAGGAGTTTTTCCTAGCATACCTACCTGACCCAGATGGGTACAGAGTTTATAATCCCTAGTTCCAGTCAGCTCCAAGGTCTCATCCCAGAGAGTTTTTCTACCAGAGGTGCAGGAACAGGGAATTTTACTCCCCACCTGGGGGCACTGGCCAGGGGATCTCTGCAAGAGGGAGGTGAGGGGGTAGGTGAGCCCCAGGAAGCAGTCTCGGGGGCAATGTGGGAGGACAGGGTAGGAGATGGGTGTTTTCTTTCAGGGTTTAAGATGATGATAGGTAGGAATCATGTGCTACGGTGTAAATGGCAAAGGAGAGGAACATGCTTGATTTGTTCTCCCTGGGACCCTCAGTGTCGAGGCTGGGCATGTGAGTTACTCAGTAAACATTTGTTGAATGAATGGAAGAGACCCACTCAGGTAGGTACGTTCGTCATGTGAGGGGCTGGGCCTGGGAACCGTGAGGACAAGGACAGCCACCATCGCCCTTCCCACCGCCAGCAGAGCCGGGTATTTAGGACATGCCAGGTGCGCTAAGTGCTTCACGCGTGTTCCATTTATGCCGAATCATTCAAATGATTAGAAACTCACAGAATGTGAAGCAAGCCCTGAAAGACGGGCTTCTCTCACTTGGCACTTTATTGTCACACTCTGCTCCTTTCTGCCCTTCCTGTTCTCCTCCTTGAGGAGCTAAGGTTCCCCCCCCGCCCGCCCCGCACAAAGGGACGCCCTCCCTTCTGCCCCACGTCCCCTTGTTCCTGGAGTACCTTGCAGCTCCTCCTTGCTCTTCTCTGCCTGGCAGCCTCTCCCCATAATCAGGCTTTCTCACGGTGTTCCCCCTCTGTGAATGAGCTCCTCCTGCCCCTCACCCTCCAAAGCTCTGGGAGACAAGGCCAACGTGAATGTTATCTTCCTGGGAAACACTGAAATTTTGGATGTCAAATGTTACAGCAATTTCTTTTTGTCGTTTGTTCAAGTAGTTTAATGACTCTCTGGCAAACAAAACTAGCGTGTTGTGACGATTGTGGGGCTTTTCCTTGCTTGTAAGAGACATTTAGTAAGTCTTAGGAAATCTGGAAGGGTTATTTTCACCCATCAAAATACCATTCACAAAGCAGTACTTTTATAACTTGAGAATGTCCCAGGTCCTGAGGACAACCTGAATGTTCTTAATATATGGAAACAAGGTCTTTCTCAGTAAGAGAAGTGGAATAGGAAATGTAAGCTATACTTCTCTGAATGGCCAAGTGCCTTCTTGGAGGGGAGCGTGAACACCTACTCAAAGCTGTGGGAGGCGCGTAGCCGGAATGAATCTTCTTTCATTCGACTTCGGATGACTGTTTTCCATCTTCTTTCTTCAGGAGAACCCATAAGTAGTGAGCACTTTCACCGAGCTGTCAATGTGAATGATGAAGATTTGCTGGTTCGAATACTTCAAGGAGGGTGAGAGAGCCCTGCCTTAAAGTTTAAAAATTTTTAATGCCCAGCAAGTGCATGGTATTGCACTTACTTTATTTCCCCCCAATTTTCCATGCCTTTGAAATTGCTCCAAAATAGATCTCCGGTGACTGGTGTGAGTCCAGCATAGTCAACAAAGATGACCTTTTAGCCCTGTGTAAATGCTATATTCTGTAATTATCTAATGAAAATTGAAAATGAAAATTAGAAATCTGGGTATCCTATTTTCTTCCCAGAAATAATTTCTGACTCTTGCTTATATGCCATAGCATTTGGGCAAATTTCACCCCCAAGTGCCCACAGCTATCTAAGGAATCATTAGATCAGCGGTTTCTGATTCAAAAAGTTGGTAAAACATTAGAAGAACAGTAGCAAATACATTTGCTGCCCTGGGATATTTGAAACTGCCTCCTAATGCAAAGTGAACAATGTTACTTAGATTCTTCTTGACTCAGTAGTTTTGAGTACCTTAGAAGACCAGTCATTTTGCGAATAGGGCTCATAAGTTGGAGGAGAGAAGGATCCTACAAAAAGCCAGCGCTTCTAAGCTGGTATTTAAGAGCTCTGCTTTCTTCCTCCAGTGGCATCACGGGAGAAATGCAGGCCTCCCCCAGTCCAGGCTCGTGGTGGAGCGGAGTGTCTACACTCCTGTGTCCTCTGCTCCAGAAGAGGGTGGGGCCCCTCCCAGTGTTTTATCTGCTCACATCATGGTTTTGAGTTGAAGGGAGTGCCTGTTTTAAACGGAACTATAGCAATTTCTCTCCTTGTGAATTTGAATCCTTGAAAAATATTAGGCAGGGCCGTTTAAGACAACAGAAACTTAATGGCCCAGAAAAAATTGGAATTTTCGGGAAAATGAATCATTTTAGCCACCTGTGTCCTGCAAGAGACCTCAGCTGTGAATCTATGGGGAGCCATGCCAAGCATGTTAATCTCTTTTCTCTGTGTTTTTCCCCAAGAAATGTTAAGGTTGATGTTCCCAATAAGTTTGGCTTTACTGCTCTGATGGTCGCTGCCCAGAAAGGCTACACCAGGTAGGCCGCCTCCTTTCTTGTCTCTAAGAGGCTGAACCTTCCACTTCTCCCAAAGGCTCCGGTCAGAGCACGGATGGGAGGGGAAAAGGTGTGTGTGCAGGAGCCCCCTTCTTCTTGCTTTCCAAAACTGTACCATGTACGGGCTGCACGAAAACTCGGCTGTTTGAATCCTGAAGTTCTATACAATGTGGCAGAGAATGTAAAAATATATAATCCTATGGTGAGGAAGAGAGGTAGCCACTTAATTATATTTTGCAATATATTTTATATGTCCCATAAATAAAATATATTTAAAATATAAATATTTTATATTTAAAAAGGGGGGGAAGGATACTAATTCTGAAAAACAAACTTCCCTGAGAGGTTGCTAAGATATAATTTTCACGGATATTATCTCTATGCCACAAAGAAGCATGCACACTAATGGCTTATTTTACAATCATATTTATATTTAACTACTGAAGTGCCATTTTGAAAAAAGAAAGACGTATATCTTACTAAATGCTGCCATTTGGAAATATATTAAAATGGTCATTAAGGCGACAGTAAATTAGCTTGACAGAACAATGCGTTTCGTGTGGTATATTTTGTTTTCAGTGAATAATTCATGTGCGGGAGAAGGGCTCCCCCTTTTTTTTTGATGTTGAAGAGGTAGTTTTCTGGTTTAATAATGTCCTGACTTTGAAGCCAGCTGGCCTCTGAAGGCAGAAAAGAAAGTGTGGAGATGTGTCTTCAATATGGTGCTGTGCACCATTCCTGCATTATTGTGGGTTCCTACCCATCAAAGCTGTGTATCCAAGTTACCTTCCAGTTTGTTTCCTTCAGGCTTGTGAAAATCCTCGTCTCTAATGGCACAGATGTGAATCTGAAGAACGGAAGTGGCAAGGACAGGTGGGTGGTGGGACATGCTCCAAAATGTTCCCATACTTCGGTTACCAGACTTGTGCCCAGATGGTTTTTGATTTAATCCAAATATTTGCGGCAGCTTCTTTTGACAGGACTGTATCCCAAAGGAAAGATGTCGATGAACAAAGCCTGGCTTATTCATTTGTTCACTTATTCCTTCATTCCACAGGAATGAAGTGGGCTATACTTTGTACGGCATCCACTTGCCCTAGCTCAGGGCCCGGCACACGCTAGGTGCTCAGGGACTGGTAGCTATTACCGTAGCCATCACCAGAGCCGTGCTGGGCACTGGGCTGCGTTTGTGAAACTTGGGGCCCCCACCAGGGCTCTCCTTACACTTGGCCTAACTCTCTTAACTAAGACTCTTAGGTGTTCCCAAAGAAGCACATAGCAGTCACAAAGCTACGACCCCAAGACCTTCCCTGCAGTGAAAGCATGGAGTGCGGCACAGGAGAAACTGACAAAAAGAGCATGATGCTTGGAAACCTATATTCAGGCAGATGAAGGAATGCTCTACAAAGACTTAAAAATAATAAGTATTCTAGTATTAGGTTTAGTTAACTGATTCATTCTAGTCAACCAGGATTTGTTGAATGGCTACCGCATGCCAGGCTCTGTGCTTGGTGCTTGGGTAGAACAACACAGAAAATGCAGGGGTTTTGCTCCAGGAGCTTAGAATCACATGGTACATAGAGCTCAAAGGTGTGCACCCTGCAAACTAGTATCTAAACAGGAGCTACAAAAACACAGGTCACCTTTGGTGGACCACAAGGAAAGTGTCAATTTCTGAGCTCAGAAAGCCTACCTGCTACACTCTCTGAACACACACAGTAATAGATTTTAAATAACATTACAAAGAATCATTTAAAAGTTTGAGGCGTCTGGGTGGCTCAGTTGGTTAAGTGTCTGCCTTCGGCTCAGCTCATGATCCCAGGGTCCTGGGATTAAGCCGTGAGTGTGTTGGGGCTCCCCACTTGTGCTCTTTCTCGCTCTCAAATAAATAAATAAAAATCTTAAAAAAATCATTTAACAATTTAAAAGGGAGTTCTCCATGTAACTCTTAGGTTAATTTGGAGGTAAGCCATCAACTCAAGACATTTGAAAAAGAATAATACCAACTTAAAAAGGACAAAGAAAATGACCTTGAAGGGTAGGAAAGAGGAAAGAATTAAAAGAAATTGATTAGAAAATAGGAAGATTGTTGAAACATATAAGAACAAAAGATGTAAGAGCTGCTTCTTAAAAAAAAAGCTTATACAATAAAATGGACCAATTGCTTATAAATCTAAGAAGAAAAAATCAGAATTTAGAAATGCTACATGGCCGTGGCTGTAGAGAAAATCCTTTGGAAATTTAAGAAGAAAAAAAATAGACTTTTGGAAGGGTACGTAACAGTGGTGATAGAGGAAATCTAAATGTAAAAAGAAAATGGTGTGCTGTGTCTACGCTAATAGATGTGATAATTTCACTGAAATTATCTTTTCGATGGTACGTTTTCTGGGGAAATGTAAATCTTCACAAAAAGACACAAAATCTAAAACAACCAATATCCATGCAAGAAGTTAGAAAACTTATTAAGGGATTATCTATGAAATAGACTCTGTGGCTTAACTGTTGTGCCCATGAGCTTATGAGAATTGTAGGTTAGGACTGTAGATAACTTATTTAGCAGAGGGTTAGTTGGAACATCCCAGAGGATAACCTTACTGCTGAAGTCTGAGAGAGAAAGAAATCTCTTCGTATGTTTATGTGCGCGCAGGTATTCATGTCTCTTCCATCCTAACTCAGAGGTTCACGCAGGACGGTCAGGGTGTCTAGGAAGTTTCTTAATGCTTCCCATTAGCAGACCAAAGGTGAAAACCTCAGTATGTGTAGATGCAAAACAAAAATTGGGTTAACTCAGCACCTTTTACTAGTTAAAATATCTTACTCTTTTAAAGTACGGATGCTTTCAGTCCTGGTAACAGTGTCTGGTGCATAGGAGGACTAACCTCTGCTGATGGAGTGAATCCTTTGATTGCATCATAAAAGCTTGTTTATCATTTCAGACGATCAGCCAGTATCATTCTTAGTATTGACAGATTCCTTTTAAAAGTTAGTAGTGAAGTCCATAGGAGTGGTTGAGAGCCAGATAGTTCGATGTCAAATCCAGATTCCCCTGTGGTCAGGGTGTATGACCTTGGGCAAGTCACTTAAACTGTGGACCTCAATTTCCCCATCTAGAAGATAGGGATAATAGAAGTACTTATAGAATTGTGAATGTTTAACGAGTTAATACAAGAAAAGTGAGCAAAACAGTGCGTGGCATATGGTAACTCCACATTATATTTTGTTATTTCATGATTGGTATTTTGGAGTGCTGGTCAACCCTGTAAGAGATGAAATGGGAGTAAGAGGCGTGGCTCCTTTCTCACAGTGCCCAAGCTTTCGAATACTTGGACTTAATAAGGAGGTTTAGTAAAGTGGCTAGCTACTATTTAACAAAAGAAATTTTTTTCCTTAAATAACAGCAATAATCAATTAATAAATATAATAAGGGAAATAGAATAAATAATACCTAACAGAAGTGAGAAATTTTGTATAAAAAAACCTATAAAAATTAGGTTAAAAGATTTAAAGATTTAAAAGGGACCTATACCATATGCCAGAATGGCAAGATCGAAGGCTGTAAAATTTTCGGTTTTTCCTAAATAAATATATAGATCCAGCATAGCCTCAAATGGAATTATTCTTGGGAGCCTGTCAAAATGGTTTTGTAACTTACCTGGAAGAACAAATGGATGACACCAGCTATTAACTTTGTTGAAGAGAAATGTGGAAAGACTTTTGACAGTTATTAAAATGCCTTATAAACTTATAGTAAATAATGTAGTATGAGACTGGTACAAATAACTGAAAAAAAGATGTATAGAATGAACTAGAAATAGTTCTCCATGTACGTCAGAACTTAGTACGTGATGATGGGAGCAACACAAACTAATGAGGAAGATGTTAGAAAAGGCTATATGAAGAAAAAAAAGTTAAATTCTGGTCTTCTATAGCATGCATCAAAATTAACTCCAGAAGAATTAAGAATTAAATGTAAAAGACAGAACCATAGAAATCACAGCATATGTCTATCTGATCTTATAATGAGAAAGGCAAAATCATTGAAATAAATCACTAAGGAGAAGATTAAAAGTACATAACACATTTTTAAAAATTAATTACAAAGTTAAGGGTAGTCTGGGGAGAGATTTGCAAATATAGACAAATGACTGGCATATTCAATATAGAGAAGATACACATACCTACCCCCCAAGATACACAGTAGAAAAGAGCAGTTTACACAAAGACAATTCATAGCAGAATAAATAAAAAATTTAATATGCAAAAGTGCTAGTAGTAAAAAATTAAAACCTTACTGTCCTATTGTTAATTAAAAGATGATAGTGTTGGTATAGGCGAGTAAAATGGACACTTTTAGGTGCAATCGATAAAACTGTAAATTGACATAACCTCTTTAGAAAGCAGTGCATCTAAAGGGAGCCTTAAACATTTGCATTAAGCATCTGGCAATATGCGTCAGAAGCAAGCACCTCAAACCCTGGGCAGGTGAAGGGCCATGTTTGCTCTCTACCAGGAGTTTCCAAGAAATGAAGGCCTACATAAGGATACAGAGATGTGGACATCGGGTTCCACTCCAGCTCAGCTCAGGTTTGGGCCTCAGAGCTGGACGTTCTATTTATCACTCAGAGAGCTTTCTAGAATTTCCCTACTGGAAAGACTTCTTTGCTGCCCCCGTCACCCACCCGACTCAACTCTTTATTTTGAAAAGTTCAAACATTTAGAAAAGTTGAAAGAATAGTACGGTATATTTTTATATACTCACCACTTAGGTTTGGCAGCTGTTGACATTTTGCCCTATTTGCTTCTCTTTCTACATTTTTATTAGCTTTTTTTCTCCCTACTTACCCATTTCAAGGTTAATAGGCATCATATTCCTCAATATTTCATTCAATATTTCAGTATGTTTTCTTCTAAAAGCAGGGACGTTGACCTGCATAACCGCCATATCATTGTCACACCTAAGACATTTCACACTAATTTCCTGACATCATTGATGCCCTAGTTGTGCAAGTCTCCCCACTTGTCCTCCAGAAGGTCTACGTGGCTCTATTTGGGGGTATGGGGACAAGACCATGATCCAACTAAGGCTCACACATTGCATCTGGTGGTTCTGTTTAGTCTCTTTTATTCTAGCCTGGTCCTCCATCCACTATTTTGGTTTAAATATTTTTTTTTAACCAGCATTGACTTTTTGAGGAGACTAGACCAATTATCCTATAGAATGCCCTATGTTCTTGAGTTGCCTAATTGTCCCCTAGTTGTGGAGGCGGTGCTTAACTTGTTCATTTGTCCCTTTATTGTCAATAAAGTTACAATTAGGTTTAAAGGCTTGATTTGAAGCAGGTTAACATTTTTAGCAAGAACACTTACGAGCTGGTGTTGTGGCTCCAGGCTGGATCCATCAGGAATGCATGTTGTCCCACAGTTGGTGATTCTAGGTTTGATCTTTTGGTTAGAGTGTGGCCGCTAAATCTCTCCTTTGTAAAGATATAGTTTCCCACTGAAATTAGCACATAACCTATGGGGGTAATCATGGTGTGAATATTCTGTTCTCCGTTAACTTTTTACCCAATAATTTTAGTATCCACTGATGGTCCTTGCCCACATCAATTATTTAATTGGGAATTACAAAAGTGTGATTTTCTAATTCCATAATTTCTTCCATATTGATGAGCTGGCAGGCTAGGGTGAAAAGGGCTTTCCCTCATCAATTGAGGATGGACTACCTTTTATTCTATAAAGGCAGAGTAAATGTTTAATTAGTTTCTTTACATACTAATATTTAGAGTATGGAATTGGCTTAATAGCCATCTATCATAATGTCAAATGAGTATTTTTCTCCCCTCTATCTTTTTAGAATATCTTCACAGGCTCGTGGATGTTTTTAAATCCAATATTTTACTCGATTTACAGTGATCCCTTTTTAGCTGAGATAAATTCACACACTCCTTTAAAACTTGGCACTTAAAGAATAAATTAACAATGCTATAGAACTGCTTCTGTGGTCGAATTCCAGAATATTCTTAATCTGCCCAGAAAGAAGCCCTGTGCACACCGGCAGGCACTCGCCGTTTCTTCTCTCCCAGTCCCTGGAACCCACTAACCTGCCAGTTCTGTCCCTGTCGATTTGCCTCCCCTGGGCGTTTCACATAAACAGAATCCTACAATATGTAGCCTTTTGTGTCCAGCTTCTTTTAGTTAGCGAAATGTCTTAAGGTTCATTCATGTAGTGGCATAATATCAGTATTTCTTTTTCCTTTTTATGGCCAAAGAATATTCCGTCGTACGGATATGCCACATTTTGTTTATCTGTCTATGAGCTGATGGACACGACATTTCATATGAATGATTTTCATGGCTTTTCTACTCACATTAGGATTTCTTGGTTTAAACCAGGCAGAGTAAAACGGGGACCTGAGTTTGGCTACTTTACTTAGAGCTATTGCTGCTTCCTCCCTATGTTGCAGTCTGATGCTTGCATGTTACGCGGGACACCTAGATGTTGTGAAATATCTCCGAAGACACGGCGCTTCCTGGGAGACCAGAGACCTAGGAGGCTGCACGGCTCTGCACTGGGCTGCAGATGGAGGCCACTGCAATGTGATCGAGTGGATGATAAAAGATGGCTGTGAGGTACAGGATCTTCCTTCTCAGCCACACTTGTCATTAAGACCTCGCAGTGCCGTTCCACAGGGTTTGGGAGAAGCAGAACCTTATGTGGATGCCTTTGATTAGCTGAACTTAGAAGTGCTGCAGAAAGCTCTTTGACTTACCAGTAAGAAGGTTCCTGAAGCCCTGGGGAAAAAAGGTCATTATAGAATTGATGTGATAGTGAGGCTTCAGATTATCATGGAGGTTTGTCTTGTGTAGGAAAAAAGAAACTGCTGAATCCAGAGCTGGACCTGATGATGCTTCTACTTTGTTTATGCCTTTGCTCATTCACTCATTGTCTCTTCATTCAATCTGTCCACAAAGCTTTACTGAGCACCTGCCAAGGACGGGATGCTAGCTTAAGTCCCGGGGACCCGAGACGTCAAGAACTCTTAAAGCCATAGGGCTTCTTACTGCTCTTAGAATGAGACTATTTTTATTTGTGGCTTGCTTTAAAGATTAGCCATTATAAAACATTTCCCAAGAGCAAACTGACCATATCACAAACAGAGCATTTCAGCTCCTCGTGCCTTTACCTTGAAGCAGGAGTTTGGATACCCTTCTGGTCTTGTGTTATCAGATGGTGCAGATTTGATTTAGCAAATAGAACCGGCGTTGTTTGGACTTCTGTAGCTGTTTGAAGATGAGTCAACAGAATTAGCTCAATTATGGTAATGGCTGATAACTTTGAGAAGTTTAGTTCAAGACTCGAAAGAAGTTAAATAAAAATTTCAAGGCATGGAAATAAGGAATGGTAAACAAAATGCTATCTTAATTGAGATTGCCAGATGGTGTAGAGTATGGAGAAATTAAACTGATGACCTGGAAAATAAACTCAAATTGAGAAGAGTCATGTCTCCTGGAGGATGTTAGCTGATTTGTTCTAGCTTGTCTCTGAAATGTGATTGAGGGAAAGCCTGGCTTTTAGCAATTGTGGGGTTTCACTGGTTCCCACTGCTGCCTGCAGAGGGCTGAAGAAAGGGCCCTTTGAAGGGAAAACCTCAGTGGTTAAGATAATTCCCTTTTATTACATTTCTTGTTTTTTTCTTTTCTTTTTTTTTCTTTTAGAAACATGCACAAGAGGTCAGAAGGATTAGCATGTGGACCTCAGTGGTTGCCTTGTGAGAGCCACAGTCGTCTTATTTGGTTTATGATGAACTCTGCTCATGCTTTGGTCCCAGTAAAAGTCTGTAGTTAAAAATGAAGGTTGACCTTTGCTGAAAGAAGGGCAGGTCTCTGCCATGAACATTTAAATACTGTAATTTTGGAAACCTAGATTTTCTGGGCTTCAGATATGCGCACGTTTATTTGTGGGTAGATTCTATCTTTTTCTGTAGCCCTCCGGCTACATGGATGTTGCCACTAAAGATTTCCGTGTGGTTGGCTGGTGGCAGATAGAGGATATCAACAGGTGTGCCTCCATGTTCTCGGCCCAGAGGCCACCCCATGTCTGGGTGGCGATAGTTGGGATCTGGGAGCGAAGCCAGGCACTGTGGCCACCATTCTTGAATATAATGATTTTCTACTGACAGTGACCGACTTGCATGGGGAACCGTCTCTACGTTTCATGAGCCATGTGACCTCAGGAGAGGCATTTGACTTCTTGGAGATGTGGTTTAATCACTTGTAGACCAGCAATAAAAGCACCTACCCTTAACGCTCAGACCCAAAAGAGAAAATGGGGGTGAAATTTTACCAAAGACCGCATAAAGCACCCTGTAAAACAAGGGGATGATTTTATTATTTAAACATAATGGAGTCTGCTGCTCAGAGGTTATTTGTTATTTGCATGAGAAAGAACTGCAAATCCTAGTGAAGTTGAGTCAATAATCTCATACATATAAATAACCTGAAACATTCCAGGGACTTTGGCAATTTCTAGTTTGTTAGTCCATTCTGGTGTTTTACTATCATGTTTGAATCATTCTTCTGTAACAGAATTTAGGGGTGTGGGTGTGTGTGTGCACGGATACACACACATATATATTTACTTTGGTATCATTCTTCATGGATTGGTGAGGCCTTCACTGGAACTGGAGGAGGCAATGCTCACATATTCTAGAATGTGGCTTTTAAAACATGACCTTGAGAGCTCTCAATCACTGGATTATTGGGAAATGGCCATCTTATTACTAGTCAAATTAAATTTGGAGAAGGCATTAGGTTGGCTAACTTCTCGGATTGGAATTTATGTAGTAAAGCTGGTTGCTTTGTGTTGATTCTACCTGGAGTTTTCCTGCTTAAAATTAATCCATATTGATAGGTATAAGGGTGTGTATATATATTACTGTCTTGTTCCAGAAAGGATTTAAAGCTGCTTACAGAGAGACTTACAAGTACACAAAGTAAACTTAAAAAAAAAAAAGTGAGGAAAGTTAATCAAAACAAAGTAAGGTCAGGACTTCACATGGAGCTAAGAGTAGGGTGGCTCATTTCTCTATCCTGCCTTTCAACCATTTTCTTTTTTTAAGATTTTATTTATTTGAGAGAGAGTGCACAAGCAGAGGCGGGGGCAGGGGGGAGGGGAGGAGAAGCAGGCTCCCCGCGGAGCAGGGAGCCCGATAAGGGGCTCGATCCCAGGAGCCTGGGATCATGACCTGAGCCGAAGGCAGACGCTTAACTGACTGAGCCACCCAGGTGCCCCCATCTTTCAACCCTTTGAACCAAATGTAGATGAAGATGCTAGCGGGATGTCCTGGGGCCTGTCAGCACCCTATAAAATCCTAACACACCTTCTCACTGCATGTGAATGTGAGTTACTTTAGCACAGTTCCCTGGATCCCTATTTACCAAGTCACAATCCTTATGGGCTATTCAACTCAGAGGCATTTGGGCAAGTGAACGTTCCTTTATAAGAAGTTTCTGATGAATATTTTTAAGGAAAAAGACACTGGACTAAGCAGCTCTTCCTCTGGCATAAAGGTAGATGCTGTGGACACGGGCTCAGGATGGACCCCACTCATGAGAGTCTCTGCAGTCTCCGGAAACCAGAGTGCAGCCTCTGTGCTGATCGAAGCTGGAGCGGACGTGAACATGAGAGATAAAGATGGAAAGACCCCGCTCATGGTATGCCTCTCTGCAGAGCACAGCCCGGCTTTGTGTGGGATTAAAGGTCGGAGCTGCTTCTATAATTAGGCAATTCTTGTGAATTCAGCTGTGTGTGAGCCCTGGGTTTTGGCTGTCTATATATTCCCCACTGGCCTGTTAATAAAGGCATGACAATGTCACTACAATATTTTTGTTCTTTTTACAACTATTTCTTTAATGATTACCAGCCCCGGTCCCCCGGGCCATTGTAGCATCCTAAACAGATCTGTTCAACAGAGAATGCGCTGCTTTCTTGGGCTGGCCTGGCCTAGCGCTTCTCATGTCATTGTAGTGCGGAGGAAGGCAGACTCCACTTCCATTTTCCTTGCCCTCAGCCTCGCTGCAGAGTGAGAGCATGCATCTGTCGTGTGAAGCCACAGTGGTCCTGGCTGGCTCTGCCTTCTTGAGAAAGCCTCTGGGCGATTTCCGCGGGCCCACCTGCATGGGGTCCACCCTGGCCTCTGGCCTCGTCCTCTGTGGGGAAGGCAGACTCACTCACGCCCCACTGTCTTTTGTTTCTTAGGTTGCCGTGTTAAATAATCACGAGGAGTTAGTCCAGTTACTTCTTGACAAAGGAGCAGATGCAAGTGTAAAAAATGAGGTAAGGAACTCTATCTAAAGCCTTTCCCTGGAGGAGAAGAAAGAACGCACACACCCACATATATATGTTGAATATTATTATATACATGTAATCTTTGTTATTTTCACTTCCAGTTCGGCAAAGGTGTCCTAGAAATGGCCAGAGTTTTTGACAGACAGGTTGGGATATTCTTTTGGATTTTTGAGGCTAATTTTGTGGTACTTTAAAATAACCGCAAACCTTGGATGACATTCACCTGTTTTTGTTTATCATCTAGAATGTGGTCTCCTTATTAGAAGAAAGGAAAAGAACCCAAATGGCAAAGAAGTAGTCTGCTGACCAGGGCGAAAGCCCAAGAGAAACGACGTCAAAATGCGACCATTGAGCTAGAGATGAAACGCCACGTCTTTTGAGGCTATACATTTGATTATTTATTTAGTTGAAGATTCACAGTGAATTTTGTGACGTACAACTGTTCCCACTTTGAAATACATCTTTTTTTTACCTAAGCGCGTGCGCCTGTGGTGTCGTCATTGGGCGTCTGCCGCGTGGGGATGTTTTCTTGCACTTGCGCCTTTTGGAGTTAGACACAAAACCAAATATTTATGTACTGGAGCTGCACAGACAGACACAGATCTCCCACTTCCCGCTCCTGCCCCCCATGCTGTCCTCTGAGCCACTCTGGGACCCTGCAGAAATTCTTCCCCTCATGTGTTTTCAATTATGACCTCCCCTCCCGACTTCAGGCCTTCCAGGCCCTGCTGTCAGGCTGGTGTTCCCTTCTGGAGTGACGCTCCCGGAAGCCCAGGAGGCCACGTGAAAAGTTTTCTCCTCAGCTGTTGGGCTCACATCAAAGTAAAAAAAAAAAAAAAAAAGTATTATTTCAAGACTCCAATTCCACTCTATTAGAGGTGTCTGGTGGAGGGTCAGTCTTTCTAGAACAGACCTGAGAGTGTTTGCATATCCTTATGCCCTGACACTGAAAGACCCAGTCTGCTGGCATGTTGACTGTGCCAAAGAGAAGTATATTAAAGTTAGCCTCCAGAACAGAAGGGGGTTTGATGCTGATCACGCAGTTGGAAGTAGGCATTAACCACAGCTAGGTCTGCCGGTTGGGAGCTTAGACACACGTGTGTGGGAGCTTGAACTCAGCAGACGCACGTGAACATGAGCCAAGTGAGCTAGGAGACCACATGCATTTTGTGTCTCCGGAGAGAAGCAGGTTAACTCGGCCCGAGGAGAAGACCAGCTACAAAGGTCTGCACGGGAGTGGAATTTTCTCTGTAAGGAAAGCCCGATCAAAAGGTAATTAAAGCTCCAAAGCTTTGGGGGGAAATGGCACAGAGACAAAGCGCAGTTGATTTTATTGATGTTGGCAATTCTCAGCTTTATTCCGTATAGTTTCTAGAACATCCACCTCAGGAACTGGGTCTGTGGGTCATAGATTGTCCTCTCTTTACACATTTCATGACTGTTTTACCTTTTGTACAAATGCATATTCCTTTAAATTTGTTGTTAGATTTAACTTTTTAAAATCTCCAAATCAGCGTGTAGTCACAAGTCTCACAGCCCTTTCCCCCCCATGATCAGTGTTGACCTTCATTTCTCAGTCTGTTGTAGATCCTGTTCACGAGCCCCATCTGTGGCAAGAGTACATGCCCCTTCTCATTGACAAAATCCTGGAGACGTCCTCCCATCCTCCTGATGGAAGCCTTGGCCATACCATGGGGTGACTTTGTCAATGAAATGGTAACGGAAATGGCTCCTGCCCTTCTGGGTGGAAGTTTTACGAATCCCCCCCATCTTTCTTCCTTCTGCCACAAGACCAGCTGTGACTCAGGAGCAGGCACTCCATCAGCCCAGGGCCCCGAGGAAGAGCCAGAGCCAGAGTTCACCCCCAGATGTAAGAAATAATCCTCTCGTGGTTTGCTATTGCAGTGCAATATAGCCAAAAATGGACTGCCTATAAGATCTTGCCGTAGGTGAGTTTAATTTTCCACAAATGATGTTCGCATCTCTCGAGTCCTGTGGTTTCCGGCCTTCAGATCTTTAAAAACTCAGGAATAGATAATGAGTTTTCTCAAATGTCTTTTCAGTGTCTCTGGTAATCCTAATATAGCATATTTCCTGAAAATCTGTCATTTTGGTGACTTGAATGAGTAGATTTAAAAATATTGAACCATCCTTATATTCCTGAGACCTCTCACTGGGTTACAGTAGACTGTTGGATTCTACATGTTCCTGTGCTTTGTGTATGTGCCTTGCATCTTTTTCCTTAGTGAGATTAGTGATTTGACTTGTGTTTTAATTTCCCCAAAGACACAACCTATGGTTTGTTGTACCATTTGGAATTTGAGTTTTACTTTGTGGCTTAATATATAAAATTATATATATATAATAGTTATATTTATATAGTTATATATAATAGTTATCTATACAGTTATATATAATAGTTATATATATAGTTTTATATATAGTGTTATTTTTTTGTGTTTTTTTAAATTTTATTATGTTATGTTAGTCACCATACATCATTAGTTTTTGATGTGGTGATCCACGATCCATTGTTTTCGTATAACACCCAGTGCTCCATGCAGTACGTACCCTCCTTAATACCCATCACCCGGCTAACCAATCCCCCCTCCCCCCTAAAACCCTGTTTGTCTCTCAGAGTCCATAGTCTCTTATGGTTCATCTCTCCCTCCAATTCCCCCCCTCATTTTTTTTATATATAGTTTTATATATAGTCTGTGTATATAGCTTTCTTTTTCAGAGGCACTTTGAAAGAAGGCATATTCTGTATGTTTGAAGTATCTCAATTGATACATATCCATTTTGATTATTTTTTTATTATGTTCATTTAGCCAACATACAGTATGTTATTAATTGGGGTCTTCTAGGTAATTACTTTCTGCCTACTTGCTTTGATATGGGTAAAAGGTGGTAAGAATAAAGACTCCTTATTACCATTCTATATATCTGTTTTTCTTTGTATTTTCTGTAGTTCTTTATGAAATTGAATTCTGTTTTTCAAAAATCTACAAATTTCTACTACACTCAGATTTTCATTCTGGAGAAATCTGATGTCCACGTTTCTACCCACATATGCTTTTTTAAATTTCTCTTTTGTAAATAAGGTGAGTTTTCAAAAAAAATATTTGGATAGGTTATACATTTACATTGTTCAAAACAAGTATCTGGTCCCCCCTCCCTGACTCCTGCCCCCTCCCCACCCCGCACATGTTAAGAGACACCTTCTTTCTTGTGCTATCACCTGACTGGTTTGTGTGGACTGACAGCACCTGACCCCTGACCACCACTCTCTTTATTCTTATGGACTGCTCAGATCTTCCCTGTGCCTCTATAAATGGGTGAGAATACAGATAAGGGGTTTCCCTTTCCCCATTTTTGTGACATTGTCAGTAATGAACGAGACACATCTTTATATTTACCTGGATACCGTTTATTGGATATAATATTCTTAACAAGGGCTTTCTCTACGGAAATAGCAGGTTGTTACCTGTAGAACCCCAATATGAGAAATGTGTACAAAAGCAACAGACTGTAACATGAAAGGTATGTGGAAAAAAAACAACTTAGCCGACTGAAGCATTATAAACGGACGAAGCATGATGCACTTAAGGAACTGGTCTGTTTCATAGCCGTGCTGAGCGGCCTGCAGCCTAGTGTTCGAGTTTTAACAGTTGCCAGACACGCTCAAACCACGGGTCTTCCCCACAACCTCCCAATTCAACCTGATAGAAGGTCTGCCATTCCTCGTCCTGCCTTGGACTCTTAGAGGATTTTCTGTCTTTCTAATTTGATACCTTTTTTTTTTTCTATCACTGCCCTACTTACATGCTTGCTTATAGGCCATGAACTTGGATGTCATTCTGCTTCTTTGTGAAACTAAAAAAATCACAAGCTATTTATTATTTTGTCTGGATTTAAACTGTGCTTAAATTGAGGACTGAATAAATTATTTTCTGGAAGGAAACTCACAGGGGGAGCGTAAGACAGGTTTTTTGCTGATGATGTGGAAAATCAGGATGGGTTCCAGACTATTCAACTATTTGACCTGGAAGAGCTGAAGCCCACTGAGAATTCCTTTCACTGTGTGGTAAATCTCCGGGCTATCACTACCCATTATTGAATGTTCTAACAATTTTATATGCAGTGTTTTGTCTCCTAGTTTTTCTCCTGTGCAACAGGCTCTTAGGGCAGGACTGGCAGCTGGCTCGTGCTGTCCCAAGAGTAAGGAGGGGATTTCCATCCGTGTGTAGGTAAATGGCTTCTGGAAGCATCCTCACTGCACAGAAATGGTTCTTAGCCTGGGGCTCACTGATCTTTCCTGGTGTGTAACTTGTATTACTATCGCAGTTTCCAAATAGGTTTTCAAGGAAGAGATGTCAACAGGAACTGTAGAGTGAGTCAAGACAATTGTGCCATTGGAGATAAACTGATTTTCTGGGGGGGGGGGCGGTGATGTGCCTGTGGGAAGTGCTCTGCTGGATTCAAAGCTGGGGCGTCGCTGGTGGGCTTGTTCTGAGCCGCCACTCTGGAGAAGGGTGGGCTTTGTGTGTCCAGTGGCTGGGCTGGGGGGGTAGCCACACCCTGCCCCAGCCCCAACTCGGGCTGACCTACAGTAGTTCTGAAGGCAGAGATTTGTCACACGGGAGGGGCATTGGCACTGGGTTTGGTGTGGAAAAGGGACTGGCCTCTGGGTGCTAAGAGGCAGATGTATTAGCCTCAGCTGCTTGTATCCAGACGTGTGTATGGACCTGTTCCTGAGTCGTGGGGGGAGTGACTGTAGCACCTGGGGCAGGCCTCTGGGGTGGTGGGAAGGACCAAAGATGGCGGCTACAGTGTCCCCCACCAGTCAGCCATAGCGTATGAAGTCACATCTGGGGGTCAGCACGGCACCGTGAGACTTCTGGGGAGGGGTGGTATCCTGTTTATCTGGGTCACTTGTGGTTAGCTGGGGTCCTATTGATAGCAGGGAGGAAGGAGCTCCAGAGCGAGTCTGCCCTGGGCTTGCTGCTTCCAGAACACCGAAGGGAGCCCTCCGTTGCAGAAGTTTTCAATGAAATCAGCCTCATGAGGAAAGACTGCCAAGGGGTCAGGTTGCATGAGAAAGATCCAGCCCAGCTGCCCAGGCATCTTGCCCTTTTAGTTGTCAGGGTCATATTGGCTCAGAATGCTTAGTAAACATCAACTGAGAGATGGCAGGAAGGTGCTCGGGCGTTCTAGCTGGCCCAGCACCAGGCTCTCTGCAGCACCAGGGGAGATCACAGGCTCCTAAGAGCAGCTTCACATGGATCAGAGTTTTTG